AGGAAATCCCACCTTAGATGTGGGCAGTGCCATTTCATGGGCTGCATCCCTGACTGAATAAAAAAAAAGGAGGGAGGGAGCCAAGGGCAGCATCTGTCTCCTTACTTCCTCACTGCACATGCAACGGGACCTTAATTAAATTCCTGCTGCTACGACTTCCCCATGGTGGACTCTATGTGTCCTCAAATTGAGTACCAAGATCAGCCCTTCCTTGCTTAGTTGCTCTGTCAGGCACTGTGTGCCAGCAGTTAAAAAAGCAACTCCCTGAGACCAGGAAGTCTATAGCGAATGCTCAAATCTAGAAAGAACAGCTACAAAATAGTGGAGAATAGGCTGTGCTGATTTAGGAACCTCACCAACAGAGTCCTAAGCAGAGGTGGGGGATCCACAATCCACATCCTATTGTCTGACTTCCTTTCACCAGCCTGCACTGGCCCCTGTCTCCTTCCTTTACTCAACTCAGATCCTGAGGAGACCAAGTCACTGTCATCACCACAGTCATCTCTGCTAAGGCCTATGTGTATCCCAAGCTACTGCTTAAGTATTGGGCTAGCCTTAGGTAACTGGCTGTCATGAGGCCTAGCCTGTAGACTGAGCAAGAAAGGTATTCACTGCCCACAAGTCTATGATCTAGCAATAAGATTATTTGGGGTGGGGGAGAATGAAGTACAGAAAGGCTAATCAATTCCAATGGGCCAAAAGGCAACCAGAAATTTTTTTTTTCTGACTCTTCTTTATCCAGTATAGGATCCAGGAAAGGTTTTAAGTATTTGGGGCAAGTATTACTTTCATGTTTGTGTTTAGCTTGAAAGGTAGAGCTTGCTATACTAGCAATTCAACAAGGGACCCAGAATTTCAAACCACATTAAGAGCAGGTGAATAAAGTTACCCAAACATGGGCTATTCTATTCCTTGCCCCAACACCCACAGCCAGAGGTCAACAGGCTTGCAAGGGGCAGAAATCTCAGTGGGGGAAGATACTATGGCTTGGAGATACCCCTAAGAAGCATACAGGGCATACACTCACACCCAACCCCAGCAATCCCCTAGTGTAGCACATTCTCAGGGACAAAAATACTTTTCCTGACTGAAAACAGCTTTCTTTGGCAAACAGCAATGACAGGAAAATCCACTTGTATTAGCGCTAGGCAGTCCTCCCAGAAACCATGGCTGCTGGAGAACAAAATGCTGCGTGTGAGTTGTTGTACTGTGTTGAGCTACATTTCTTTCCATCTGTTCACTTCCTGTCAAGCACAGTAACGGGTGAAGTATGCAAAATTAACAGCACGGAGAGCCAGTGTTTCGTTTGCTAGGTAATTTCATTGTGAAGAAGAGTTCAAAATAGAATTAGACTCCTGTTTATGGCCAAGATGGACTGACAGGAACCAGATTTCCTTCTGGCCTGCATGAACACAGAGCAGAGAAACACAGGCAAGCAAAACATTCAAATCCACCGATTCCAGAAACAAGCATCGGCAGACAAGGCAAGATCTGAGAGAGAAACAAACGAGATGCGCTCTAAGTCTGCCCAGACTGCTTGCTGCCTTGTGAATACTCCCATCATGCTGGGGGGCTGGATTCCCAAGTGGAATCCAGTGGACATCTTGAATTGAGCTCAAAGGGGTCAATAGCTGGAGCACTGGAGAGAAGAGAGTTGTATACAGAGATCCCTGTGGTCTGGCAAGGCATGTGAACCTCACCGAGTGTGAGGACTCATAAGGAGTGAAAGAGGCCCAGGGCTGAGTGGCTGCAAAGGGGAGAAGGAATCAAGTTCTAAACTCAAGCATGGTAAGACACTGGCCCCATTCCTCCCACCAAGCAGATCACCTCAGTACTCCAAGAGCACTGTGCAGACCATCCAGAGTGGTTTAGGCTCAGTAAATTACCTTTAGACAGAAGGTAAGCATGTTCTATAGGGGGCCACATAGGAAGCATTCGAGGCTTTATGGTTCATGTGGTCCCTAAGCAGTTATTCAACTCTACTATGGCCAAGTGGGAAAGCATCTATGGATATTGTATAAGTGAGTGAGCATGGCTGTGCTCTCATAAAATTGAATTTATGAGCCCTGAACTTTTAACCTCATATAATTTTTACAAGTCACAAAATATCCTTTTGATTATTTTTTTACCATTTAAAAAATTTCAAAGCAGTTTTTGACTTGCACACCATACAAAAGTAAGATTTGGCTCATAGGCCAGGGTTTGCTGATCCGTGCTCTAAAATATTTTAAACACCTCTTTCATCTGATTTAAAATCCAGACCCAGGGCCAGTAAGATGGCTCAGTTAGAAAAAGCACTTGCCTCATGGCTCTGATGACCCAAGTTCGATTCCAGAGCCCATGCAAAGTTGGAAGAAAAGAACTGACTCCACAAGGCTATCCTCTGACCTCCACATGGGTGCCATGGATTGCATGCCCCATACACTGTACATACAAACATACATACATGCAATAAAAACAAAATATTTTAAGTATATAAAAATAAAAGTGTGACCCAAATAATACAGCTGTATCCCACAACTCACAAAAACATTTATAGAAAATTCAAAAAATATCCAATATTGGAAAAAAAGACAAAACTTGGATCCAAATAAACATTTCCTATTAAGAGCAGAAACAAGGCAAGAATATCTATTTTCAACATTGTACTAGGTTGTAGCAAGTACAATAAGGCAAAAAGAATAAACTAAAGGTATCTATATTACAATTAAAAAATAAAATTTTGTAGCCAGGCGTTGGTGGTGCATGCCTTTAATCCCAACACTAGGGAGACAGAGGCAGGCAGATCTCTGCGAGTTCAAGGCCAGCCTGGTCTCCAGAGCAAGTGTCAGGATAGGCAACCCTGTCTAGAAAAACCAAAAAATAAAAAAATAAAAAAAATAAAAAAAAATAAAAATTTGTAACAATGGATAACAATTATTTGTGTCAAAAAATCTTCAGATTCAACAAAAAAGCTACTGGAGCATATTAGTGAGAGTAAACGAAGTTGTGTAATCCAAAAACAACACAAGTATAAACAGCAGCTTTACATATGAGTAGTAACCAGATACTGAACATTTTAAAATGATAATTATAATGAAAGTCTGACCAAAGGCATATAAGGTGTGCATAGTGAAAACTAAAAAGCAATGCTAAGAAAAATTAAAGAATAAGTGAAGATTTATTTAGTGATAAGTCCATGTTATAGATTAGGAGGATCTTGTTGATGTGACATCAATTCTTTCCTAAATAATCTTAAAATAATGTAAATGCAATCAAAATTACAAGTGCCATTGTTTTCAAAAATTCAAAGCTGATTTTAAAATTTAGATAGAGGTATGAAAGCCCTGGGGACATCCAAAAATACTGAGAAAGAACAAAGGCAGGTGGCCTGTGTGGCTTGGTTTAGTGATCTATCAGGAAGGCACAACACTCAAGACCCCGTAAAGACAAAGTAACTAATGGAAAAGACCAAAGCATAGAAATAAGGTTATACATAAATGCCACTTTGATTATTTTTGACAGAAGTAGAGAAATTCAGTAGTGGAAGCAGCCTGTTATTTATTTATTTATTTTTTGAATGGCTCTAAGCCAAACAGATATCCAAATGCAAAAATTTGCCTATTTACTAATTCAAAAAGATCACAGACTGAATGTTAAAACCTAACAGTATAAAATTACTAGGAGAAAAGGCAGTAAGTCCTGTGGCTTTAGCCTGCTGAATGTTTTCTTAGATATAATCAAAACAGAAATCATACAAGAGGAAACTGATTAACTAGACTTAAGAGCATCCACAGTCTGAAAGATATTACTGAGAGTAAAAAGGAATGCATGGACCCATGGAAAACACCTGTAAAGCCTGTCGTACGCACGTTACCGCCCTGCCAGCTGCCAGCTGCCCTTGCAGGATCCTAAGTCAACCTGTGTTCTTTCTAAAAACAAAACCCAAAGGTGTCTGACAAAACAACTGAAAGGGCATATGAAAATATCTTACATGTTAATACAAGTGTAAACTATTTCAAAAGACATCTTAGGAAAAAAAAATAATCAACTTGTAAAGATTCATGTGACAATCCAGATGCGTTTAAAAATTATCCATAGAGAAAGAAGCCAGATCTCCTTCCCCAGAGAGCAAATACTGTACGAGGCTACTCACATGAAACTGTGGAAAACAGAAACCAATTAGGAGTGATAGAAAGCAGATCAGCTGTTGTCTAGGAATGGGGGAGAGACAACAGGAAGGCTCTCCAAGAGACACGAAGGAACTTCCTGAGAACTGCGTTCACTACCTTGATTGCAGTGCTGGCTTCAGTGTGTGTGTGTGTGTGTGTGTGTGTGTGTGTGTGTGTCTTGAAGTTCATCCAATAATGCCTATCAAATATGTACTGCTTATGATAATGCCAATTATACTTCAATAAAGTTGTCTTTACAAAGAACAGCATACATACTGACATGGAAAAACATTAAGTTAAAAACTATGAAATGGTTCATATAGTAAGAAAGTGAAGTAATTCGTGGTCCCGTTTACACAAAATATATGCGTTTATACTAAAAACATTCATATACATACATACAAACAAGACTGAGAACACACGTACTAATCCACTTATAGTTTGGAGACTGGAGAAGCATCCCAGAGCACTTTCCATCTTGTCTGCCCTTCATCTTGCTTGAACATATAGCAATAGTACATTACTTCTGAAAATTTTTTTAAATGAGACTTTTTTTTAAAAAGCATATTAAGCAAATGTGGTGGAGCCTACAAATAAAAAGGAAAAAAAAATTGATGGTCCAGACAAACTTAAGTGTGAAAGGATAAACCGATGACAGACAAGTCAGTTGTATCCATAAAGTCTTTTCCTCAAGAATCTTTAGGCAAAAAAGAAAAGAAAAAAAAAATCAAGAGCTTTACAGCAACAATCACGTTGGCTCAAGTTTTCACTGGAGATAAGGAAAATAAATATTCAAGGCCAGGGTCAAAGTGGCAGGTTTGTGGCCCACAGTCCTGGGGTAATTAGTACCTTGGATAATTTTCTGCTGCTGTTGCCGGATCTCGTCAAAACCCAAACCTCTGGTCTCCTCTGGCTCCTCACAGAGCCAAGGGTTGCGAGTTCCTCGCTTTGCTTCTTCGCTCATCAGGCTGGACCTTAGAACAATAGTAAATGCATTACATATCTCACAAAACACAACTTGGCTGGAAAACACTCCCACAAGCACAGAGCTGGCCAGCCTGGCATGCTTCGAAAAGTCATCTCCACAATTTATTGTACTCTTAGTTTATTCTAGGAACCGTGTCCGGGGCTGTTAGAGATCTGAGGCTAAGATACAACATGGTCCCTAAACAATTACATGGCATGATGAGGAGCTGGTGGGAGAACCCAGCACTCTGCGAATCGTCAAAAGAAAACAAAACAAAACAAAAAAACCCTGAACTCAAAAACCAGCAAAGTTGATTCTCAAGTCTCAAAACCACAAGGCCAATGGGAAGTTGCCTGTTTATTACAACAAATTTTGTTTCACAGACTTTGTGACACAAAAGGCACTAATATTATTTTTCACAAAAATCTAATAGTGTGCTTACAGATTACAGCATAAAAAGATAACAAAATTTTCCAGTATAGGGTGCTTGATTGCTCACAGAAACACATGCAGAGTTTCAAGTCCAATTTTATGAAGGCAATCATAATCATCACACTTGGAACTGTCAACTGTGATCAGTCCCCCTGGAAGTAGCGCACACTTGGCTCTTGCACAACACATACTGGTCTCCAGTCTAAGAAGGAACACAGTTCCTACCACTGCCTCCCTGTCCAGAGGATGAGAAAGAACCATGTTGCCCAGGAAACCACCTCTGACTACTCCAACATGGTGTTGAACACTCATGTTGCTGCTCTAGTGGAATCTGGGAGAGGGGTATGCTGGAAGTGTGGTGGTCGTACCACAGCAGTGACAGCTAACTCGGATTAAGCAACTACTGTATGCAGGCACTCTCTGGCTGATTGTGAGTGTACTCATTCATTTCTCCATTGTTTATCATTCTTCAGACCCTGATGGCATCTCTTGTATTGCCTAAAAGCAACTGCTGCCCTACTGTTTGGCCTTTCATAGAGTTCAGCCTTCTAACTACTAGGTAGGAAGGAGGACATGAAAACCACCTAACCTATGCTGCACCCTGCTCCCCAGTGCAGAGCAAATGGTTACCGGCACGTCACTGACGGGCAATATGTGGACAGTAACATCTACCTCAGGAAGTTTCATCAAGGATAAACAGTAATTTATGTATTCAAAAACTATTTTCTCAGTGTTTATTATTCAGTAGGCACTATTGGAAGAAAGAAAGAAGGGAGGAAGGAAGGAAGGAAGGAAGGAAGGAAGGAAGGAAGGAAGGGACAAAAGAGAAAGAAAGAACCCCTATACAATCTGACCAAAATCTTTGCCCTGACAACACACAGCTTCTCCATGAAGGTGCTGTACATGTGCCTGTGTGAGTGAGAGTGTGTGTGTGCTGAAGGGATGGTAATAGTGTGTCCACAGTGCTGAAAACAGTGTTTGGGAAATAACACCATTTTCAATAAAGTAACCATTTTCATTATGCCAATTACTGCTTCATCAGGTGGCATTAAGATTATTTTTAATAAGTATATTTCTAACAAGTATAATTTCACATTTTGCCACCTTGAAAGTCAAAAAAAAAAAAAAAGGAATATATCCTTCAAGAAAACCTGGACAATTGCAAAGACTCATTTTTGATTCTTTGGACTAAGATTTTATGCACAGGTCTGGTCTCTTATTCAAATGTACCAATTAACATGCCAAACACAAGTATGACTTTCTTCCAGTCTATCAAAAAGACAGACTTGTTCGTTAAGGCCTTACTTTACATGATTGGCCCCAAGAACCTGAGATGTCGAGGTTTCACACTTACTCCACATGATAATCACTTAGCTTCATCTAGCTTTGAAGACAAGAAAGAAAAAAATGAAAAGGGAATCGAAGCAGGCAATTTGCAATCCAAGCAAATACATTAACTCCCAAGTCATCTTGCAAGTGCCAGCATGAATCTCATGTAGCAGTATGTGGCTCATTGCAAAAGCCTGGGTCAGAGACTGGCCAGAAAAATCGCCTGAGACTCACAAGTGCATCAATAGCCAGCTCTAGTCATTCCAGTGAGTGTATTGCAACTGACTGACACTGCTCCAAGGTTAGTGCTAAAATGCCCTGCTTTGGCCAGGCGGCAGTGGCACATGCCTTTAATCCCAGCACTTGGGAGGCAGAGGTAGGAGAATCTCTGCGTGTTTGAAACCAGCCTGGGCTACAAGAGCTAGTTCCAGGCTAGCCTCCAAAGCCACAGAGAAACCCTGTCTCGAAAAGCCAAAAAAAAAAAAAAAAAAAAAAAAAGAGCCCTGCTTTGAGTCCTTGTGACACATTCACACAGACACTCACACACACACAATCTCTCTCACACACACACACAGACACTCACACACACACACTCTCTCTCACACACACAGACACACAGACACACAGACACACAGACACACACACACAGACACACCATTTAAGGTATTAGTATTAAGGGACAAAACCCAACAAATGTGAGGTGTTTTTTGAGCAATCTCAATAAATAGCAAATTAGGCCTAAAGCTATGTTTATGTGTGCAGTGTGTACCTGTGTGTGTAGTATGTATACATTTTAAGTACCTATTGGGAATAAAAGTGAAAATGTGTACCCCAGCTTATATCAATAGTAAACACAACACAGAGGAAAGACTTCCCAGATCTAAGCTACAGCCTCTTCCTGCTCATCCCTGAGCTGCTATTCTTATTTCACTGATGTCCCGGGCTACCAGGAATGCACCTTTAGAATGCCTGTGTGTCTGTCTACATGACCCTCATTTCATCAGCTTTTACACTCCACCTTACATTTGGGTGATACTTATCATTAAGCTGTACTGTTCTACAGACAGTGGCCCTTAGTAGAATCAAGATCAGACTCCGGAAGTGAGGCTGAAGAATGGCTCATGGATAGGTATAAAGAAGCCAAGTGGTCTGCCCTGATAATACAGGTAACAATATGATAATATGGACAAAGCAGGCTGTATTGACATATTTAGGAATATATATGATATATATGTAAAACAAAGAAAAAGAAATGACAAATCTTGGGGGATACATGGCAAGGACTTAAGGGAGGATTATTTTAATTTCAAAAAAAATAAAATAAATGTGTTAAAAAGGAAGCCCTTCAAAATATATATAAAGCAAGGCATATCTTCTACTTTTTACCCTGAAGAAACACCATCACCAACTGGAGAATTTTCCAG